CAGAGAGCTGTTGATTAATTTTTCAAACTTCTTCAACCTATTCTAGATGTTCTTTATCTTGATAATTTCACCAGACTGCTTGGTCTTACGCTTAGCTGCGAAGTCCCCATATCAGGCAAAGCGTTGGGTTTTGAACCAACTCTATATGATTTCCCGTAGTAATCATATGTTCACGACGCCTACGATTTCGGAATCCATAAACCTTGCCGACGGTTCTAAATTCACCTTCTCCTCATATTCCAGACTTATCCAATGCCAAACTCAAAGCAGGATATGGAGATTATACTGGTAAGTGTAAGACTAAGCAATTAATATAACTAAATAGAACAGCCAACATTCTGAATAGAAGTAATGTGTATGAAAGTAAGCAGAAACAACTTGGCTGTTGGATAGAATTAGAGATATAAATAGGGAAAAGGAGGCATCGCCCACAAAAGAGATTTGATAAGTCTGAAATCTAGTCTTCACTATCAACCCATGCAACTTGCAAGCATTGTATGCATACAACACGTTCAATTGAATGCAATCACAGAAATCAACATTGTGTAATCAAAAATATATGCGATTTAAAGAAGAATGCAGCTGTGCGGTAAAAATTTCACATGTTTTTCATATCCACTACAAGTTTTAGCAAGCATGTGGGAAAATCGTAGAATAGCCAACCAAATCACGAGATGTATCATGAAATGGAGAGTTGGGCTATAAGAAGAAAGTATTATTGTACTTCGTCACCTGTCTTGTCTTCGGGTTTTGAAGAATGATCGCAAACCATGGTGTCCTGCTCTGAAGATGTCCGCCCGTCACATGACGGAAGAGATCTCAGCAAGGATTTATCGAGGTTTCAGCGCAATGCGCCAAGGACGTAACGCACAAATCTAAGCACATTTTCACTGGATTCGAGGGAGATTGCCTCGGAAATAGCGTCAAACAAAATGTTCCAGTTAAGCAAATTGACAGCTGATCAAGAGGAATCCCCCGTGGGACCGAACTTCAAATCTCTCCACCCTACCCTCTCACTTGAGATGGAAGTAAGCTGAACAATTACAAAACAGGAGATTCCTGGAAACCCAACTTATCTTTGCATAATTCTAGTCACAACTCCTAGACAATCCTTCTTTGATTTCGGCTAAGGTCAATTTAAGAATCTATTACATTTGTCTTTTCGATCAAAAAGAAAAATAGACCAATTCATTCAGGGAGTCTTAGAAGCCCAACTTTTCTTCGTAGCTATATAGATAGAGATGCTTCCAAGATTAGACAAGCTGAAATCAACCGATTCAAAAAGCTTCGCAATCCATTTAAAACAGCAAAAAAGTAGAATATGAAGGTAAGTAACCAAAATACAAGCTAAGGAGTCGTTAATATGGAAATTACAATCAACACAAAGTTACCCAGAATCGCTGACCCAATCCTCGTCAGGATTGGCTACCCCAACGCCCATGCCAACTGGCTGTCGATTTTGTCGAGCGGACAAGCTGTTATCGACAGGAGAGGTCCCGATAACGCCACTACGGATTCCCGAAGGGAGACCACTGGCACCACCCAAAACTTCTTCAAGAAGCATGTCGCCATTAGTGATGGGCAGACCCTGTAAAAGGTGAATGCCAAGGAAAGGACGTTGATGAAGTTTTGTTGGGTGAATATTGTTCAAATACAATTAAGAATTTATCTGAAGGTAAAATGAGTGGGAACAAAAGCAAATAAGTGAATATAGGGCAAAAGTAAAGCCGATGCACCTAAAGTTCTATGTTGGCTAAATTTAATTTCGAATGCATTATAATTAATGTCCAACTCACCACCAAGGAGCCAAAGGAGTAGAGTAACCAAAAGGAGTGAGTCAGATACGACTTACGAAATAAAAGGGAGTTTATGATAAGATGAGAGGAACAAGGTGTAAAGGTTCAACTTTTAGCAATCATTTCATTTAATAAATTTAAAAACTGTGCTTTTCCTTCAAGCATGGCGATAATCAATATCATAAATAAGTGACTATTATGTTAAAGATATAAATATAATCTTCGTCTAGAATAGTTATTGACTTTCCTATATATACATATATAATGAAAAATATTAAACGATGCACCTACATATTAAAACAAAGTGAGATAGAGGCATAACCAGTAGTGCCAATAAGTGGGTGGAGTGTAACTTTGCACTTATGCACATCTATATTGATGCCTGTTTCCAATCTGAAGCTGGTTCAAATATTTAACCGTGATTTCATCTGAAGTATAATGCTGGTATCATGATTTGCCTTAAAATGACCCTCTAACCATGAATCTCCTTGAATTCCAAGTGTAGCCCCAATTTCTGAGGGTAAGA